TTAGAAAACCTGTAATTAAAATGAATTATTTTATAAATATAATTAAATTAAGAAACAAATAGTGCTTCAGATTTCCAGTGATTGTATGTTCTTTCTGCGCTCTTATGATATCTCACATAAAGATGTGAGATTTTTTTCTGGTAACAGCCTAGCGTTAAATTAAGAATTCAGAAATTGGCTGCCTATCAATTATGTTAACATTTGAGTCGTGTTTCCACTATTCGGATAATATGTTCAGCATCGTTTTCGCTTCACGTTTTCGGTTTCGATTACGACTTTTATTACGATTGTAGCTCTGATCTTCATTAGCGGACAGCTTCGATTTTCGATCATATGTGGATGACCTATAGCTTTAACTTTTGTCATATGCTCACTGTTTATAATAATCTAGAGTTTATCCATCTAGATTATCATTGAAGCAATTGCTTACTCCATATACAACAGTAACTTGTTTAAAAGGAATTAAATTTAGTGTCATACATAAGTTCAACAGTGATTAAAAGTTACGGGTGACCTTTGCTTTATATAAGCCACATTATTTTTTTAGCATTCTCTACTACTAAGCATTTCTTAAAGCTGTTTAATAATATTCGCAAACGAAATAGTTTAATATAATTTATTAAGTCACGCATATTCCAAAACTATAGATTTAACAGTGTATAGATTTTGAACTTTTTTAGAACTTCAGACTGAACTATGCGCACCGCATTAGTTGAAGTGTCCTTATTTTGTAGTTTCACAATATTGTATTCATATGCACTGACAACTTAAAATATGCCATGTTAGCACTAATCACTTTTTCTGTTTGTTATGACGAAGAAAGAAAATAATAGTATTCCAGAGTGCTACAAAACGATGAAGATATTTATATTTGGAGAATATACTTCGGCTCTGTATGCAGCAATACTGTCTGCAAATCATCGTTCTCTTCACACAGTTACTGAAAAACTTTATTCTTTACGATAATTGAAAGTGAAACATTCCGTTCAACAGTATTGAAAAAGTTAACAGTTAATTTTGAAAATCTTTCCATCAAATCTTCCTTAGATTTGATGGAAAATTTGTTTCGACCAAAATATTAATACTTTGATGAAAGAAAAACTTTCCAGTGATTTTATGTTGGTGCGGGTTGTTCAGTGGACGATGTAAGTTGCGGGTTCAATCTTCACCAACGGGACCCGCCACATAGAGTTTTCCGGCTTTATTCACCTGTCTAATACCTAAATAGAGACTACATTCCCATAACGGTCCTCCCTAGAAGCCCTCCCAATCTGGCAGACCTCCCAATCTCCCAATGCCAAGAAAATGGCATTGCCTTCTCCCATTACATCCTACATCTTTCGAATTGTTCTAATGGTGACCGACTGTCGTAGTAAATGGTTCCCCAAACTATACACCAGCAATGAAGATAGTGTGCAATCAATAGTAAACGAACCACTGATGAGTGCTTCACCAGCGGTTCTCTAAACGCTATACTGATGGTCGTTCATTTCCAATCAGAACGAGGATTATCGCTAAAGATTATATGCTGCCAATCCATACCAGTCTTTTGTCAAGGCACCACTTCAAAGAAAACCTACAATGTTGTGTACTAATAGCAGAACACCATACATGTAAAAATGCCTTCGTTAATTGTTTACTAATGTAATGTTAAATGTGGGAAGAGACAACTTCTGTAGCAAGGTTTCACCTGACTCTGGATGGTAAAAGAAGATGTCGTAATGTTTGTTTCACGATGAGACGATTATCTATCCTGATAGTTCGTCTGGGACATTCAAGCTTGTCATATACAGGCCATGTGTCTTGACATATCAATTGTCCATAACACCTCCTCATACTTCAGTCAGGTCAGATCGATCTAGATGTGGAAAATTTGACAAAACGGACATCCTGCATTCATCAGCTCGATGACGAATCCTTTCTCCAAGTCCGTCAATACATTGTAAGGGTGTAACAGGACTCTGTCTTATTCAGAACCTCTTTCTATTTCTGGTGTAAAACATGACCTCGTTCATTAATAACAGAACTGCTTCTCGTTTAAAATAGTATCTTGTTCGGTTGGCTGAGTGAAAGAAGGTGATATCGCCGTGGAACAGTTGTGGAAGACTTTAAAAAACGTCACGATCACGACCACGATCAAAAATCCAACTCCATCGTCACGACCACGATCAAAAATCCAACTCCGTGGAGGAAGACGTTGGCTGAATCTACTACGTTGAGCTTGTTTAATGTAATTGTGAGCCCGCGGATTTTTAAGGAGATTTTCAGATTGATGTTAATCGTTTTCCAAATAAATGCTCCCGATAGAAAAAACGGAGAACCAGATGGGAGGTCACCGGTTGAAAAAACAAGTCAGTGGGAAAGTTGACACTTAGATGTCAAAAATGCTTCGTCAGCGTCAACATTTGACGATTACGTGTTAGATTTCCCACAACAATAGTATAAAACTGGGAGCTACCGGAAGCTCGGCGCGATTCGTCATAGAAAGTTATAATTGGTAATAGTGCCACCTCGACTCCCGGACCTCCATACAGCGGACCTGATCCAGCCAAAAAGCAGACGACACCTGTATTTAGAAGATACAGAGGACTCCTACCTCTTCCATACAGACGACGTCCGCCATATCAACTCTCCGTTACGCCCGAGAGGTATTTAGGGGCTATTAGAACTTGTAAAATCTCTCGAACTAGAGATCAGTCGCCCATTTTGTGTAAATAGTATAGCTCATAACCGCATTTAACCTTAGCACTTATATAGCTTCCTGTACTCTAGAATTAGTTAATCAATAAATGCTTTGTTATTTTGTTAAACCTGTCTATCATTGCTTCAAGGACGCCTGCCGACTTGCTCACCTCCCTCGCCACTCGATAAAAAGGCATCCGAACCGACAACGTGGGCGAGTTTTACCAACTCGACGTGTAAGAGGCAATTAGAGTACTGACCCTGTGCCCTCATAATCTCACATAATCATCTTAACGTTCCCTGCATTATTAATCTGTATCACGTGCCCAATGGATACAAGAATATTGTGCTGAACGCAAGCCCACTCACTAAAATGTGTCACAATCCAAATATCCATATAACTAAGCGTATACATCTGTAAATCTTTTATATGTCTGTATAAACTTGTATATACCTAAATGTTGCTCTACTGTCTCTTTCCTCACGTGGTAACCATAAACACCTAATAGCTCCAAATAGGATATTTCAAGGAGCATTGAGCTTTTCAAACTTTACGTTACAGAAATGAAATATTCAGATATTCGAATTTACATTTAAACTTAAAATTCCAATTAGAAATTTCAACTTGAACAGATAAATGAATGTATAATGAACAAAATACGATTAACAAAAATAAAAGTAAGAAATATTAAATAAAAAAATATATTAGATAAAACTTCTAAATAAATATAACAAAAAAATAAACCCAAAATTGATTGCAGAGCCATGTGTGACTTAAGAGGTTTTATGCTCTAATTTCTTTTCGTTTATGTATTTCCATGCCGAGGACAATGCGTTTGCATTCTGGCATTTATACATTTCTCATTAATTTTGTTTTTATATATTTCTCTTTTTTCTCAGCGAGCATTAGGTGATGAAGTAAGATTGTTCTTAAAAAATATTATAAGATTCTGAATTAAAATGACTTATAGACAAAATTTAGAGGAGGATTACCTTTGTAAGTTATTTTTTAATGTATAATGAAAAAACTTAATAACTTAAAAATATTTTTTTTATTAATCAAATGCCAATCAACTTTCATTAATTCCTACTACTATTATTTAAGTAACTCATAAGTNACATTATTAAAGCGATTTCTTATTTAGAAATAATTTTATGTATTATTTTCTTCTTTTCAATCTCAATTTTAATTGTCCTTCAGGTCTAAGAACCAGCAAGAAACTGCAAAGTATATCTTCTGGAGGATCTATTGATTCAACCTTATAATTCATAATAACCCTGCTAACAATTGTCTTCAGTTTCATCATAGCATATTTTTGACCTAAAAATTAAAATAAGGTAAATGAAACTTAAAATATAATAGCGTAAACACAATTAAATCTTTCATTTGTGCTAATAAAACTTACCAATACAGTTGCGAGAACCAGCAGAAAAAGGAATAAATGAATATGGATGTCTTCCGATGCAATTTTCTGGGAGAAATCTATCCGGATCAAACACTTCTGGATTGGGAAATACTTTCGGATCGCGATGTAATGCATAAGTAAACAACATGAAAGATGTACCTCGAGGAATCGTATAGTTTTCTATAAATTGTAAGTTTAATTAATATATTTTTAAACATTAAATTAATTATTATATTCTTAATTGAGTGAAACCTACTGATTTTGAAATCTTCTGTACACGAACGTCCAATTAACGGTACGGATGGAGAAATTCGTTGTGATTCCTGTCAGAATTAAATGTGTCATAGTATATAGTTTATAAATACAGTAATATTCAAATTACATATCATTATTTAATTATTATACATTTTAGTACCTTGTAATAAATAACAAAAAAAAATCAACGAGAAATGGAGAAATATGCTCTTTTGAAATACGTGAAAAGAAGATAATAACTTAGAACCTGTTACGATTACATAATGAAGAAAAACACAAATTTAAACTTTTTTCAACCTCAACATAATAGACCTTTATCAAAGACAACAACGGAATTTGCTACTAATATTAGGATATGCAACAGTGACGAGCAACCTTTTCTGGATGCGGGCCGCAAATAAATTTCGTAGAGTTCGGCGAGTCCCATGTATTTTTTCTTACGGAGTTGCAGGTTTTTAAACCTGCTGAATACCGACGTATATGATAACTTCCAGTGCATTAACTACTAAAATATTATATGCTAATTAGTAATACATAGTTTATTCTCATCTTTACGCTGGTCACGTCGTAATGAATACATAAAATCCTCGTTATTTCGAAATTCAAGGAACAAAATATTCGCGATTTCGAATTATCCGAGATTTACATATTTCTGTACAAACTACCATGTAATTGATGTTATTTCTTAACGAAATGGAATACGGCCACATACGCAGAACGCTATTTTCGTTAATTAATTTCAATTAATAATAATATAAATAAAATGAAGGTAGACGGCACTGGTCCGGTGAGAACATCATAGGTCTCCAGATAGGTTTTATAGAAAGTAAGGCAAAATTCCTGGAAATGTAGTCTAAATTATTTTTAAAGTGAGCCTAAAAAGTCGCTCAAACGTAGTAGTCTAGAGACCTACAAATATCTCAATTTGTTACTTGTAGCCCAATCTCTCAATCCCGAAACCCAACCGTATTTTATGAAATAAGAGCAAAAAAAAGGATAGTCCATATGTAAGGTAACATCCGAAAATGTATTACTTTAAAAGCAAAGCAATCTTGACCAGATTAGAGTTCGAATTAACGAAAATTTCTTGTATCTGCTTAATTATAGATGCATAATGGCACGAGAGATAAAATAAAGAAATAAAATTACGTTGACAAAGTCCAAGGGCATCAAATTACGACCTCGAAGGTCGCGGGTTGCTCATGACTGATAAACAGCATATTTACTAAATATGATTAACATAAACCTTTAGGACACATTCCAAATATTTCATTTTTCTAATGTCATCCGCAGTTAATGTTTTATCTTTATCGTCTCCAAATATTCCTTGGAGTTCTTCATACACTTTTTCTTGAATATCTTGATGGAGCCCTAGATGATAAAGTGCCCAACATATGCCCATTGAAGTTGTGTCGTGACCCTAGAAAAATAAACATAACCTTAATTATGACTAAATATGAAAATAAATTCTTACAATTTTGCTCTTTTTGAATTCTTTTAGAAAGTTAATTTAACTAATAAAAGCTAATCTAACATAACAATGCAATAAACTTTATAAAACATCAAATGCTTATAACTGTTAATAATTATTAAATGCAAGGTTTAAAATTTTCCATTTAAAGCTTTAATGTTTAAATTTTTTTATTTTAATGAAATTTGTTTATTTAAATATAATTTTTATAAATAATTTGTTTTAAAATGTAAAGATTTACAACAAAATCAATATTTTTTATTGTATTTCATAATGTTTAGTAAATACAAATATAAAATAGTTGTTTTTAATATTATAGCTTATAATTAATAATGCAAAATTTTTACTTCAATGTTTCTATTATCAAAGTTATTAATATGAAACATTAATTCATTCATACTTAAACTTAATTAATTAAGGTGGTGCTGTGGTATTAATACAAAAACAGTGAACATACAGAAATACTATACGCGTACTTAAAAAAGTTTAATTTCATCTAAGGAAAGTAAATTCGTCCTTTATAGCTCTGATAACATAAGAGTATTATTTTTTTTTTTATAAGAAATGAAAGACCAAAACGATATAAACAAAGCATATACACAACTACCCGAGCTGCATGCATCAAAACTGAAACCTAAAATATAAGATAATAAGTTTAATAAAGTTCGCCAGGTGGCGAAGGAGACTGGCCGTGAACGGAGCAAACAAATTACGTTACGAGATAAACGGCACGGAATTACATTCTCGTGCACTTTTTTTTTTAATGTGAAAATCGTATGTATCCTACGTTCATCTGGATGGAATAAGCTTTCCAATAGCGAAAGAATTGTAAAAATTAGTTTAAAGTATTCGGAGATTATCTCTAGCAAAGAAACTAGCATTGTCGCTTTTTATACTGTATTAGTAACTTATAGTAATTTCAAAAATAAAAATAAAAATTTGGTAATTTACAGCTTTGGCTAACTGTAGTAAAATTTTACATTCGAAAATTTAAAAAGAAAAAAAAAATACACTTAAACAGAAAAAGTCAAAGAATAATTAAAAATATAATATAGTATTTGATCTTTACTAAGAGATAATTTTAAAACTATCGCATATTATTTTTAATATATTAAATGTTGAAATGGTCATTTTACACACATCGGAATCATTTTCGGTTCGATTGCTTATTTAAGAATTTTACAAATACATCTGAAAACAATTTGTTTTGTTGTACTAAAGCTAAACGCAAAACAAATTGTCTTCAGGCAACAGGATCCACCCGTAAATATAAGAAAAATTTCTCATTGTCAGGTTAGGGATGGATTAACGGATATACAAAATAACATGTTTTGTTGTGTACAGTATTCGTTTCTACTTTCAATTATTGTAAAACGATATAAAATAAAAATCCTTTGGGAAGGAAACAATTTGCCGGGACAAAAATATTGGGAGGATATATTCACTCTGTCCCACATGGATCAACGCCCACGACTTTAGGTACTGATTATAGCATGATTCAAAAGTTACAACAAAAGTACTGAATAGGAAATGAAACACGTAGCTGTTTACGGATTTTAACTATTCTTAAAATCTTAATATATATCGGTATCTTAGTTAATTGACTTTTGGGTCATTCTATATTGTAAACGTTATTTTATTATATATAATTTTTAAAATATTTGCTTTTGAAAGCAAAAATTCTATTTACATTGAATACGTTTATGAAATATTGATAGTAAATAAGGACGTATTTCACATTGATATTTTAAGAATATATTTAAATTATTTCGAACCAAATGTTACCTCAATTATATTTTAATGTCCGAAAATGTTTTAAATTTAAAAATAATTAACTAAACTTGACTTTGCTTTGCAATATTAATTTAATAATTTTTCGAAAAAAAAAAACACATTCTTTACTTTTAAAAATAAATGAATAGATCTTACTGCAAATACGAAAGTATCAACTTCTTCACAAATGTCTTGGTCGGTGAAATCTTTATTTTGAAACTGATGCTTAATCAAAGTATCAAGAAGAGGTTCTTTTTTCTTTTCTCCAATAGAGGAATCTGTCAAATTATCGACTGACGTTTTCAGTTCTTCCTTTCTTTGTTTTAAGATCTTTAAATAAAAATTATAATAATTTTAATATTAACATAAATTTGTTTCAATAATTAACATATATAATTTACTTATGAATTTATTTACACGATAAAAATGAACTTTGCTATAACACAGTGTTTTAAAAGTTTGTGTGCCTCTACACTTTAATAACTAAAAATACAATAATGTTATAATTACTCAGTAAATAATATTGATAATCTAACATCTAAAGTATTTTCGTAATAATTTTGTAAAATGTAGAACAAATTTTATTTACAGATCTTATTAGAAACTCCAAATGGTGACAATCGAAGAGAAAGTAAATTGCATGCTTTGGCTCGAAGAAATAAAGTCAGTAATAGTTATTACAAAAAAGCCTTTTTTATTATGATAAATGTGCCATAATAAATAAAGTATCAGTACTTTCTTGTAACAACGGTTGTTGATTAAAATTGTGCAAGCCAAGGAATGTAGTTTATTTTCCCAGGTCACTAACGAAATCTGTATATAAAATATATTAGTTATATTAATACTACATTGACAATTTTATTACATAAATGACTCTTAAATATTATTTATTGAATCGTTTTAAAATTTCTACATTTATATCATTGAAGTGTAACACTACAAATGGTATTTTGGAATATTCTATGTAAGAACGGAATCTTTCTTTATAATTCTTTCATATACAGTATAACAGATGTGGCGATTCTATGGCATGTCTGTCCAAAGTGTCACGGAAGGAAAAATCATCTTGTACATAACGTATCATAAGATTTTGACTTATCATCTGTCTTTTTCAATTATCCTTTTTTGGTTTATCAGCTGATCATCCTTTTCTTAATCATTTTTTTTACATTTATTCTAATTAAAGCATATTCGTTTAACTTCTTTAAATATCGTTATTTGAATTCTAAATCTTTGACACATAGGCCTATAAATATCTTTAAAGCTAAGTATGCTTATTATTGGCTCGCAGACTTAAAAAATTCGCCATCCCTGATATATATTAAAAATCATATTAAAAATAAATACAGTAAATACCAATTATTGGGATGCAATTTGAAAAAAAAATGTAGACCTATAAATTCTCACAGCTCACCGAATATCGAGAACGGAGTTAGATAGATGCAAGCTGGGACCAGATATGGAAAGCCCCGATTAACTATATACGAACTTCCGGTCCAAACGGAAAGTTAGGAAGTTACATTATTTCAATTCAAAAATTCCTCTCTGAAAGGAGTTAGATAGATGACTGGCAGGACTCTATTGCTAACGGAAAAGTATGATGTACAGGAGCAAGACACTACTAATTTGAGATGGAGAGCATATATTTTAAATTAAAAAATTATTAAAAATTGCAGCCCGGCATTGTGACGATGTCGGGCTGCAATTGTGATGTCACAATAAATAATTGCTCGTTGTATATACTTTTATATATCGAAATATAATTTTACTAGAAATTACTGTTCATAATTAATCGCAACTCATTTCAAAATGATTTGGTGGGATTAATTCACCTTCATTGCATTATTTAAAATGTGAATATTTTTTACCTTATAAATATTATGTAATTAACATAAATAATGAAGTAATGAATAAATAATAAGTGATTTCAATAGTCTAACAGAAAATCATAAATATATTTTAAAATAAAACACAAAAATATTTTTTTACCTTTCTAGTTAAGCCATGAAGTACAGACAAAGTTCTTTTTAGTTTAGCCCCATTAGATGTGAGATTAAAAATAAAATCATTAAATAACCATGGCGTCATAGATCTTTCTAAATGTATATTAGAAAACCTGTAATTAAAATGAATTATTTTATAAATATAATTAAATTAAGAAACAAATAGTGCTTCAGATTTCCAGTGATTGTATGTTCTTTCTGCGCTCTTATGATATCTCACATAAAGATGTGAGATTTTTTTCTGGTAACAGCCTAGCGTTAAATTAAGAATTCAGAAATTGGCTGCCTATCAATTATGTTAACATTTGAGTCGTGTTTCCACTATTCGGATAATATGTTCAGCATCGTTTTCGCTTCACGTTTTCGGTTTCGATTACGACTTTTATTACGATTGTAGCTCTGATCTTCATTAGCGGACAGCTTCGATTTTCGATCATATGTGGATGACCTATAGCTTTAACTTTTGTCATATGCTCACTGTTTATAATAATCTAGAGTTTATCCATCTAGATTATCATTGAAGCAATTGCTTACTCCATATACAACAGTAACTTGTTTAAAAGGAATTAAATTTAGTGTCATACATAAGTTCAACAGTGATTAAAAGTTACGGGTGACCTTTGCTTTATATAAGCCACATTATTTTTTTAGCATTCTCTACTACTAAGCATTTCTTAAAGCTGTTTAATAATATTCGCAAACGAAATAGTTTAATATAATTTATTAAGTCACGCATATTCCAAAACTATAGATTTAACAGTGTATAGATTTTGAACTTTTTTAGAACTTCAGACTGAACTATGCGCACCGCATTAGTTGAAGTGTCCTTATTTTGTAGTTTCACAATATTGTATTCATATGCACTGACAACTTAAAATATGCCATGTTAGCACTAATCACTTTTTCTGTTTGTTATGACGAAGAAAGAAAATAATAGTATTCCAGAGTGCTACAAAACGATGAAGATATTTATATTTGGAGAATATACTTCGGCTCTGTATGCAGCAATACTGTCTGCAAATCATCGTTCTCTTCACACAGTTACTGAAAAACTTTATTCTTTACGATAATTGAAAGTGAAACATTCCGTTCAACAGTATTGAAAAAGTTAACAGTTAATTTTGAAAATCTTTCCATCAAATCTTCCTTAGATTTGATGGAAAATTTGTTTCGACCAAAATATTAATACTTTGATGAAAGAAAAACTTTCCAGTGATTTTATGTTGGTGCGGGTTGTTCAGTGGACGATGTAAGTTGCGGGTTCAATCTTCACCAACGGGACCCGCCACATAGAGTTTTCCGGCTTTATTCACCTGTCTAATACCTAAATAGAGACTACATTCCCATAACGGTCCTCCCTAGAAGCCCTCCCAATCTGGCAGACCTCCCAATCTCCCAATGCCAAGAAAATGGCATTGCCTTCTCCCATTACATCCTACATCTTTCGAATTGTTCTAATGGTGACCGACTGTCGTAGTAAATGGTTCCCCAAACTATACACCAGCAATGAAGATAGTGTGCAATCAATAGTAAACGAACCACTGATGAGTGCTTCACCAGCGGTTCTCTAAACGCTATACTGATGGTCGTTCATTTCCAATCAGAACGAGGATTATCGCTAAAGATTATATGCTGCCAATCCATACCAGTCTTTTGTCAAGGCACCACTTCAAAGAAAACCTACAATGTTGTGTACTAATAGCAGAACACCATACATGTAAAAATGCCTTCGTTAATTGTTTACTAATGTAATGTTAAATGTGGGAAGAGACAACTTCTGTAGCAAGGTTTCACCTGACTCTGGATGGTAAAAGAAGATGTCGTAATGTTTGTTTCACGATGAGACGATTATCTATCCTGATAGTTCGTCTGGGACATTCAAGCTTGTCATATACAGGCCATGTGTCTTGACATATCAATTGTCCATAACACCTCCTCATACTTCAGTCAGGTCAGATCGATCTAGATGTGGAAAATTTGACAAAACGGACATCCTGCATTCATCAGCTCGATGACGAATCCTTTCTCCAAGTCCGTCAATACATTGTAAGGGTGTAACAGGACTCTGTCTTATTCAGAACCTCTTTCTATTTCTGGTGTAAAACATGACCTCGTTCATTAATAACAGAACTGCTTCTCGTTTAAAATAGTATCTTGTTCGGTTGGCTGAGTGAAAGAAGGTGATATCGCCGTGGAACAGTTGTGGAAGACTTTAAAAAACGTCACGATCACGACCACGATCAAAAATCCAACTCCATCGTCACGACCACGATCAAAAATCCAACTCCGTGGAGGAAGACGTTGGCTGAATCTACTACGTTGAGCTTGTTTAATGTAATTGTGAGCCCGCGGATTTTTAAGGAGATTTTCAGATTGATGTTAATCGTTTTCCAAATAAATGCTCCCGATAGAAAAAACGGAGAACCAGATGGGAGGTCACCGGTTGAAAAAACAAGTCAGTGGGAAAGTTGACACTTAGATGTCAAAAATGCTTCGTCAGCGTCAACATTTGACGATTACGTGTTAGATTTCCCACAACAATAGTATAAAACTGGGAGCTACCGGAAGCTCGGCGCGATTCGTCATAGAAAGTTATAATTGGTAATAGTGCCACCTCGACTCCCGGACCTCCATACAGCGGACCTGATCCAGCCAAAAAGCAGACGACACCTGTATTTAGAAGATACAGAGGACTCCTACCTCTTCCATACAGACGACGTCCGCCATATCAACTCTCCGTTACGCCCGAGAGGTATTTAGGGGCTATTAGAACTTGTAAAATCTCTCGAACTAGAGATCAGTCGCCCATTTTGTGTAAATAGTATAGCTCATAACCGCATTTAACCTTAGCACTTATATAGCTTCCTGTACTCTAGAATTAGTTAATCAATAAATGCTTTGTTATTTTGTTAAACCTGTCTATCATTGCTTCAAGGACGCCTGCCGACTTGCTCACCTCCCTCGCCACTCGATAAAAAGGCATCCGAACCGACAACGTGGGCGAGTTTTACCAACTCGACGTGTAAGAGGCAATTAGAGTACTGACCCTGTGCCCTCATAATCTCACATAATCATCTTAACGTTCCCTGCATTATTAATCTGTATCACGTGCCCAATGGATACAAGAATATTGTGCTGAACGCAAGCCCACTCACTAAAATGTGTCACAATCCAAATATCCATATAACTAAGCGTATACATCTGTAAATCTTTTATATGTCTGTATAAACTTGTATATACCTAAATGTTGCTCTACTGTCTCTTTCCTCACATGGTAACCACACACACCTAATAACTCCAAATAGGATATTCCAAGGAGTATTGAGCTTTTCAAACTTTACACGTTACAGAAATGAAATATTCAGATATTCGAAATTTCATTTAAACTTAAAATTCCAATTAGAAATTTCAACTTAAACAGATAAAATAAATGTATAATGAACAAAATACAATTAACAAATATAAAAGTAAGAAATATTAAATAAAAACAAAAATATTAGATAAAACTTCTAAGTAAATATAACAAAAATAAAACCAAAATTGATTCAGACCCATATGTGACTTAAGAATTTTTATCCTCTAATTTGTTTTCTTTTATGTATTTCTATGCCGAGGGCAATGCGTTTGCATCCTGACATTTAGATATTTGTCATTGATTTTGTTTTTATATATTTCTATTTTTTCTCAGCGAACATTAGGTGATGAAGTAAGATTGTTCTTAAAATATATTATGAAATTCTGAATTAAAATGACTTATAAACAAAATTTAGAGGAGGATTACGTTTGTAAGTTATTTTTTAATGTATAATGAAAAAACTTAATAACTTAAAAATATTTTTTTTATTAATCAAATGCCAATCAACTTTCATTAATTCCTACTACTATTATTTAAGTAACTCATAAGTACTGTGTTCCATTTATGTTTCACGAATCACGATCCAATCCAATTACAAAGATTACGAAAAACTCGTTATATGAAGTTTAAAATAATGTTAAATGTTTATCATGGAGTTATTTTTTTGAACTCAATAAGTTAATTGCATTTTCAAAATAATACATACTCTTGCAGAGCTTCAATATAATCCATGCACTGTTTGTCCTGTGATTTTATTTCAACTCCCATCGCCGTCTCTGTAATAACAAGAATTTTAAATTCAATTATACTAAATTCAATAATTTTTATAATTATTTTTATTCTTCTTACCGCAGATTATATCCAAAGTGCAAAGAGTAACTAATGGTAAAATGTCTATCCAATCCTCACTTTCATATTCTTCAAGGTTTTTAACGAATATCTTTGCATTTTTGTCGAACGTCGGAAGAAATTGATCAAGAATTCGATAATGAAATGTCGGAGTAATCATTTTTCTTCTGATTTTCCACTTATTACCAGTACTATGTCATTAGAAATTTGTATTATAAATGCATTATAGGCCTACGCTATATATACTGTATTAATATTGTTAAATTAAATTAGCTGAATTGTTAATTACAATTAACAAATAACAAATTACAGTACATCTTACTGTGAATACAGGTATACCTCGAGTTACGTCGTTTCGAGTTAAGTCATTTGTCAAAAAATATATACATAGGCTATATATGAAAAAATAAAAATCAAGTTTAAATCATTTTATTCGACTTTATGTCTGTCCGCCACAAATATCGAAGTCGTAATATCACTAGAAAAGTGTTAGAAGTACATAAAATCATGTTACTATACAATAAATAAGAATAAAAGTATATAAAATCATATTAAAATACGTACATTTACAGTAAATTTTAATACTATACATCAAAAATTCTAGAGAACGAAATATGAAAACATTTGTGACTCTGTGTTGTCGTCTTATTTAGTGGTCTTTATCGGTAAACTTAACGTAAATTAGTTTATTTTATACTATCGCAAAATAATTTTAATAACTGTATTTGTTATGTATTTCCGAGACCAAGTCTTCCTTTATTTGTTTTTTTTTCTTTACTACTAGGTGCATTAATAGACACGAGGCATTTTACATCATCTTTATTAATCTTCTATAGGACGACCTATAGAAGATTATTATCGACTTTGGAATCGGATAGAAGATATTTATCGGCCTATAGAAATTTAATAAAGATGATGTAAAATGCCTTGTGTCTATTAATGCACCTAGTAGTGAAGAAAAAACAAACTGTATTTGTGATTTAACCTTACAAAATTATTTTATTTTATAATGTCTTAGAGCAAAACAAATAAAGAGTCGGCGATGTACTGTAAACATCGCCAAATTGTAAACCTATACATCTACAAGTACGCTTGTACTGTACAGTACTGTACATGTATTCGTAAATTTAGATAAATTTTAGTTTTTAATATAGTACAGAAAAAAAAAGTCATTTNTAGAGCAAAACAAATAAAGAGTCGGCGATGTACTGTAAACATCGCCAAATTGTAAACCTATACATCTACAAGTACGCTTGTACTGTACAGTACTGTACATGTATTCGTAAATTTAGATAAATTTTAGTTTTTAATATAGTACAGAAAAAAAAAGTAATATGTTTCTAAGCTTATACATTCTTATTAACCATATATTATTAAAAATGCATTTATAAATAAAATACAGACTTTGGAATGGTTATTTGTGGTTTAGCCTAGTGACAAGTAAATTTGGAGACAAGTAAATTTGACTTAAGTCGCCTCTTCTGGAACCAATTACCGACGTAAGGTGAGGTATACCTATATATCTATTAACTGATTATTATTTATATGTTTATTAAGTAGAATATTTAAAGAATAATATTTTACCTCGTTACTAAACCCGTCCCTAGCCAACAATGAAGTAGTTTATATGTATCGTCTTTAGTTATTAACGTGTGACTGTTTAAAATGGGCTAAAAAAAATTTATTCTATAAATTATCTGACATAAATAATTAAGAAAATTATTAAAAATAATAAATTATTTATTCAAATTTATTCGTATTATTTATATTGTAGCTATTTCAATTTTATCAAGTTATTTTTAATAATAAAATTTAAAACATAATATGCAATGATTTCCCCGATACTAGGATTTTCGCTGATCTGTAAACAATCTTTAACTACACTAAAATTAACAACGTGTATGAAAAACTTTCATTTGTATTACAGCGTGTAATGTATGGAATACAGTAGACTTTACTACATCCGTCCTCCTCGTATCCGGACAAATCAAAGGCAACTAAAAATTTTTCAAAATGTTTATTCCGAATCTTACTTTCCCATGCTGCAGCGCGTACATTTTTTAAGTTTTTCTTATTGAGGTCGCAATGAAGTTCGTAGAAGCTCACAATGCATTAACCACCACTGACGTGATAATTGATTGGGCGGGCATTGGCGTGATGTAGCATCTCGTCAACGAATCGAGAACAAAACAAGCAACTTTAACACAGTACTTTCAAAACTAATTGTAATTATAGTTGTCAAATGTAAGCATCAAAGTCAACAAAAACATTTTATTACACTTATAGTAAACATATATGTTACATTCTTATTCTAAAATTATCGCACTCCTTATTCAGATTTTTCTAATATTCCGATCATTTTCGTCCATATTACTTCAGATGTGGGAGAGACTACTTATTCTCTATCAGATTCTCTTTACATTCTCCTAAACTTTCGTCATTCATCTTTACAGCAGTAATTGGATCATCTTTGCCTTTTGTATGTTCCTTCTTAATTGGCTGTTAATGCAATGTACAGTACAAACATCATACTATGTCATATTGATTGCGTTTTAAGAAGTTACGTCCAAAGAATGAAATTTTCTTTCTTAGATTCAAAATTTTTCCCTTCTCATTTGATTCCCAATCCAATTCATTCCAAATGTTTGGGATGAATTGGTTCTCGAATTATATTATATGAAGTTAATGTATATTTTTCAATTTTTACTGCAACCAATTAACACATTAAAAATTCTATTCACACAATTATTTACATTAATTTATATATTTATACTTCTAATTATAAAATAATATCTGGTGACTGACTAACTTCAATAGTTTCTGCCGAAAAAATCAGTACGTAAGGATCAACAGCTACCCAAATACGACATAATCCATGTTCTCGATAAGTTGAAGCCAAGGATAATAACGTCATCGGAAATTCTAAAAAATATATATTTTTTAGAATTTTAAATATATTTAAAATTAAATATATTTTGTATATTTTTAATATATTTAATGAATGTAAAATTAAAAATATATTATATTTAATTTATTTTACTAGAAAATTTTAATATGTTAACATTAAGTACTGAAAGCTTTCCTAAAGTCATTGATGGAAACTTATGGATAGCTAATTGTTTAAGATGTAATGACGCCATCACAGAATTCGTGTAGGAAAACTATTCATTGAGCTATTCATTACCTTAAAGACATGGTCAGCTCGGTGACCTGAAGATGACGTACTGTACGTCATTACTCGCCGCTTAAATAGTAATTCCTTTAAATCCTCATTGTAAATCTGTTTTATAGTACGAATTAAGAAGTAAAAGCTAGCAATGTTGCTGCTGGGCTTTCTCGCATTCTTTATTTGTTTTCGTCTCTGATAATTGCTACCTTTACCTATGAATTTTTAGATTTATATAAAATAACTAATACGATTGATTACTGTACTTGTAAAAAATGACAGTCAATTGACTATTTAAAAATGTTACTTTCCTCACCATTTCAACATATAGAGATGTTTCGGTCTAATTTTAATGAAAATTATAATTAGTAACACGTAAAGTATATTTATCTCAAAGAATTTCATAAAAACAATAGTCCTTTTATATTTTTACCGCGATGATAGAATTGGGAGTTAGGTAAATATCAATTTCTTAAAACTACTGTATTTTATCAGTATCTATCAATACATTGGTGCTGTCCGGAGATGCCTGTAAAAAGAGTATGGTTTATCCTAGGAATGGCTCCATTGGTTATCAGATTTTTTCAAATCCAGTCCGCTAATTGTTTGCAAATTTAAAAAAAAAAATGTATTGTCTTCCGGGAATACGTTTACAAATGTTCAACTAGATCGGAAATTCGGAAGTGGGTGAAATTTGAGTTACTTTATCTGTCCAGCCAGCAGGACAGACAAACCGAATACAGTAACTTAATGAAAAGCTTATAAGCTTTTTATTAAGAAAATTTAAGTATGAAAAAAAAAACGAAAATAATGTATGCTACGAAAGATTGATTCTAATTTGACAAAATCCTTATATTATTTTATTGTCTACTTAATGCAATAGTTTCAACAAAAAGTTAACGCTTGTTTTTTAAAAACCTAAATCTTTTGGCTTTTTTTCAGTAACTTATCACACAAGGAGCAGTTATTGATATAGATTTTATTAATGGAGGAAATGCATTTCGGGTCTAAATGACCCCTCTTCACTGCTTATTTTTTACAAAAGAAATAATAGATATAAATTACATCACACATAATACAGATAATATTTTTAAAAATCTTTTTACTTATATAGCTGATTATTAATTTTAAATTGAAAATAAAATTGGGCAATTGACTGAATAAAACTTGTTTAAAAAAGGGTGCTCTATAAGGAAAAATTAAGGTAGACAGGTAAGAAAATATTAAATAAATGAAATAAAATTTAAAATGTTTTTTCTTACAAAATTATATAAATTGCTATTTATTACCTGTAGATGGATAAAAAATTACGAGGGGATAATGTTTAAAAAAATTTTGTCTTTTTAAAAATATAAAACAAATTTTTAAAAATAAGACTGATAAATAAAAGTAAAATTAGGTTTAAAAACCTTTTTCTTGTAAAAGTTGAAATGAAACGTTTCTAAAACCATTATACAAGTGATAAGTTTTACTGTGTGAGATCAAATTAAATTGGCAAAAACCAGCACATTATAACCAGATGGGAATGGGGGTTGAACGGGATCTCTAGTGGATTCTACCTGTCATGAAGAAGTGGTTGCTATTAAGTATAATTACACTAATTCATCAGTGGCCATGCATTGTAATGAGGAAGGTTGTGAGATCTCACTTAATAATGTTAAAATACTCAAAAAAGAAACAAATATATTATTAAAAGGAAATTATTTGAACATTTAGAAATTATTAAAATAAATGATTTTAAAATGAACTTAAACGATGTACCAACTATTAGTAAGATCTGGCAACCAATAAGTCTCTGTAATCGTATTACTAAGTCTAAGACGTTTTAGTAGTACGATTATATCTGTGCAATAGCGAAATTTCTTTTTGTGATTTTTTCAGTTATCTAAATTAGAGCGGGAATTGACATACATTTTAAAAACTGTGTTTGCTGTTCCGAATTCATTCAATTATTTATAGAACTGTGTCTATCTATATCTATCAAATTATTACGAGAAGAAAAATTATATTTTTACATAAAAAAATAACTATTCCTTTACTCTAAGTTCATAATATGAATTCGATAAATATTAGATTATTAGATTAATAAAAAATGATTTTTATTACATTTTATAACAAAAAGTATAATTAAGTAAATGCCATAAAACATTTATTTTCTTTCGAAATTTTATTAATTTACAATTAAAATACTTTTAAACATTACAAAAATTAACTAAACAGAAAAATCAATAAGTTAGGTTTCCTTGTTCAAGATAAAAAATCAGATAGCTTAAAATAATATTGATATGATAACAAATCGTCTATTCTGTTATGAAATAAATAAAGACATTTTAGTTGATGATAATTTCAATTGAAATACAAAAGATACGGGTAAAGTTTACTCGTCGAATAAAATTATATATATATATATGTAGCTGTTTATAACATATAATTTAAAAAATATAACATCAATAACATCAGATTATCAGATTATAATTATAATAAGCATATAATAAATTTTATTATTTTAATAGAAATATTCGTTATCAATTTAATTTGATAAAACTTATTATTTATAACTAAATAAATTGATATTAAAACATTTAAAACGTATAAATAATTATTGTGAAAAGGCCTACTTACGGATATGGAAAGGAATGTTCGTTCCTTTTGTCGAGAAAAGATTATAATTTCCTAGAAGGAAATTATCCAACTTAGGCCCAGGAAATGAAGATAATTTTCTTCTAAGTTTAATTATTTCGAAAACATATCTCCATAAAATTATTAATGCGAAAAGAAGTAATAATACGCTCCAAATCAACATCTTGAATGAAGTAACGTGATGATATGAAGTGCTGCTGTTATCGTGATCAATAAAAAATGACCTTCCTCTACATATCAAATATGAACACTTGCAAAATGTTGCTTTTTTCCCTTCTAGTAATTATGTATTTTTAATCTAATTCGTTATTAAATTTTTAAAAACAAAAAACAGACCTTGGAAAATCAAATCTATTTAAAATATTACTATTTTCTATTTCAGCAACCTGAAAGTTTTACCCGAGTCAGTTAGGCCGACCGAAACAGGACTTCCTTTATATAATTATTTGTAATAACACGTTATTGAGCTGATAGGAAGATAGAAGTACTGTATGTCATTAAACAATTGCCATTGTGTTACATAAGTATAATTGGTATGAATTTCATCGAAGGAATCTAGAATAAATTATCAATTTTACTAGAGTTAGAATTACGAAACAATTTTTAATAATTTGAAATAAAATTAATTTATAAATAATTTATGAAATTAGTATAAAAGTTTCAATATTTATAAATATGATAAATAAAATAAGTTATATAATCACGTCAATTAAACACGTAACAGAAAAACAATTCATCATAAATTATACGTAAGTGCTGGTAAAAAAGTGAATTTGAATGGAAAAATAATTCACTTTATAACAGAATACCAAAATAAGTTTTATAAATAGAAGTATTTTTCATGTGTACATAAATAACTTGATTTAATAATAAAAAAACAAGAAAGTATTAAAAAATATTACGCCTGTTAGTCGCTTCTAAAATGAAATATTCGTTTATTAAAAGATAAATGTTTTTAATTTAGAAGAGATAAGGAATATAGTTACGCGAAAATAATATGAGCGTCACGTTACACGGATATCTATTGTATTAATGTAGAATTTTTTGAAAAGTAAATATTCACACTCTGTCAATTTTAAGAGCTGATATGAAATAATAGTTTTATTGTATTAACGAGCAATTATTTATTACGACATCGTCACAATGCTAAGCTACAATTTTTAATCATATTTTTAATTTATTTAATTTAAAATATATGCTTTCCACCTCAAATCAGTACTGTAGTGTCTTACACCTTTATATCATACGTTTCCTTTAACAATAGAGTCGTACCGGTCATCTATTAATTGCTTTCAGGGAAAGTTTAAATTAAAATAACATGACTTCCGGTTCACGTATGGTTAATCTACCAAAGTTTCCATATCTGGTTTTATCTTTTATCTGTCTAACTCCATTCTCGAGATTAAGGAATGACAGACGGACAAACGAACGACAGTGGGTAAGTCTACAGTTTTTTTTTTTCAATTTGCAGCCTAAAAAGTCTAATCATTACATTGTTACAAGCATAATTTCAATGGCATTATTTAATACAATGCTGCTTAATGACAACTCTTAAAGAACCTTTATATCCGATAACAAAACGTTTAATAAAACTGTCGATCTTTAATGGACTGTAAAAATATGAAAGTACTGCGGTTTTGCAAAAAATAACGTTTAATGCGGAATGAAACGCTGGTACAAAATGGCTGCTACAAATGACCGTTACAGAACTACTCTCGTTCACAAATTTTTTTTTTCCTTTTTTTTTATGACAAAAATACGGTGGCGCTTGAGGCGCTAACATCCCGGCCCGCGTTGAAGTAATACTTCAATAAACAATATTAAACATAAATTTAAATTTAATTACAATAGAAATGGCAAGTATAGGTCACCAAGATGAACCACACTTTCTTCCTAGATGGATGGTAACAGGCACAGTTTGGTTATGCTTCTCTTAAAAACACCCTTAGGCGTTTTCACCAGAACCACTCTCACCTTTCCGTCAGATCCTTTGATTACTTCTTGTACTCGGCCCATCGACCAACTACCGGGTGGGAGATTTTCATCCTTTAAGAGGACCATTGAGTTTGGTGTTATATTGTCTTTCTCAAATTGCCACTTATGTCGGGCCTGTAAGTTGTTTAAGTAGTCCAATTTCCACTTACGCCAAATAACTTGAACAAATTTAGTTAACATTTGCCATTGAGACAAATAATTATCTGGTTTNCAGCGATTCCCAACCTGTGGTACGCGTACCCCTAGGGGTACGCGATAGGTTGTTTAGGGGTACAGAAAAAAGTTAGTTATTATGGCAGAAAAAATAATATATTATGTATCACAAACTAATAGTATTAAAAAATTATTAGATAAAAAATGTTCCTTGCAACAATCACAACTTTATTATACCATTTTTTCTTTTAGGTTTTTTTTCTTTAATTTAAAGTTACAATATGTAAAATTAACAATACGGTTACTCACTAAATTTCTTAAATGAGGGGTACAATCTAGAGATATGACATGTCACGGGGTACGCTAATGAAAAAAGGTTGGGAACCACTGCCTTAGAGGTATGAAGGAGTACTGTACATGTCAGGAGTTACAATTTGGCACAGAGAATTTGCTGCCCAAATAATGCGCACATAAAAAAAGCAATCTTGTAGTTAGTCAGGAGACCAACAACCGGGTCAAAACAAAATACAAAATGGCGACTCTGTTTCTACAAACAGGCGCGAATTACGAGATTTGCACATGCGAATGCGAGATTTGTACATGGGAAGTTCGAAATGTGAACGTTGAGAAATCGAATTTTGACAAACGTATGACACACGTTACGCACATATTCTCTTGCTCTTGTCGTTTCTCCATCCTGTGAAATGACGAGAGCAACATCGGGACAATTCAAGTACAAATATCTTCCTACTTACCGTAGCCAAAAACAGGCGTTAAGACGGGTTGCGTGACAACGCAATCAGTCAACCTTGGCGGCAACGAGGCCCACCGTAATCTATGCCAGGATCCGGAGTACCGGTGTCGGCTTTTCATCATTTAAGTATGCTCATTTTTCTGTTTTCCTTAGAAAACGGTGCGCAGTCGAGCCCTGCTGAGTCTGCGAGACATAGTCTCGTCCCAAAAATGGCCTTGCCGTTTTACTTGTTTTTTATATAAAACTCATCACTACTCTCAAAATTAAACTTTTTGTCATTTTATAATAATCAATAATGTAAAAAGGGTTTTACACATTAAAAATTCAAAGAAACTAAATCGTCTTCTTTCCGCTCATGTAGGCTATTTATTCCGAGAACGAGAATATGCACGCATGCGTCCGATTAGCCGGCCTTATAGATGGAATGACATAGGCGCGCAGGGAAATAATTAGTGTTGCAACGAATAGTATATTCGGCCTCAGACCGAATACCGAATATTCGGCCAGGAGCGTGACCGAATAGCCGCATATTCGGCCAAACTATTCGGCTCGATTAACGCACGTACGAAAATCGGCGCGCAAAGCGCATTATGGCAAGGACCTGCTCTCTATTCGCCCGCTGTCACTACGCTTCGTCAATCACGTTAATTCTTGACAGTTGTAGCGGACAGACAAGAGCGTCATGGCAGTACTGTATGTGATAAATTAAATCAAATGTGAATAACAATGAAATGACCTACAGGTGTAAATAACAGAAAAAGAATAGAGAAGGATCGCGAAGTGAAAATGTGAAAATGAATATGAAATTGAGTTGATAATATAATCGAACAAGGCGAGGCAGCTTATTGGCGCGAAATTCGCGGCAGTCAATTCCAAGCAAGTGTTGTCATAGACTTCGGAAAGCTAAATGCTTGTAATGAATGTCACTTAGCGTGCACGGGCGAAAGCCTGGGGCCGTTCGGGCTACCAAGCTGTCTCGAATTTGTGAAATCATAACTGTGACTTATACCGTCATCCTATCTGTCTCTTTTCTCCGTTATCACCAGGCTATGAGTCACGCAATTGTAAAATGGGAAATCTACGACGGAAAAGTGACGAATCGAAAGTATCGTGAGGGCGTATTATGATCTATGCATAGACATACGTGGACTAGAGCAATATAGGAAACAGAAAGGGAAAAGCAAAGACGAGCACTTAAAAAGAAGGATAGGCAGGATCAGACCTCAGATGTGCGACGATTCTCGAACGAATAAGTGTGTACGTCTGCTGATCTTTGTAATTATAAATTTCGAATACATGTGACTAATATTATTTTCTTTTTTATTTTGTGCATGTTATAAGTTATAAATAAATATAAACAAACAACACTAACCCGATAACATTAAATCTAAATACCAAAATGATTAATTTACTGTGTTTTTGTTATTTCTTACTCCTGTTTTTAGGTATTCGGTATTCGACCGAATAGCGAAAAATAGGCCGAATACCGAATAGCAACCGAATATTCGTTACATCACTAGAAATAATGCCTTCCGGGAGGTCTTTTGTGGAGAAAACCCGGAAAACTCCACGCGGTCAGCCCGTCCGAGCGAAGTGCCCAATAACAGTCTTCAAAGAGAAAACCTTTTTATTCTAGGCTACGCTTCTGCTGAATTATGCAAAACAGTTTTTAAAAAATGTTTTTTAAGCAAAATCTCATAACAGATGGCGCCACAAACATTTTTTAAAATTTTGATTCATAATATAAATGTTATTTTTAAAATAAAATCTTGTAACAGCCAGGGGCGTGCCATGACATTTGATGACAGGGAAGCTGTGTTTCTATAAGAAGCCGACATCCAGGGGCAATCAGTTAATTCTTTCTTTAAATGTATTTTTAATAGATTATTTATCTGACGTACTTAATAAACAAGTTCATTATAATTACCTCTGTTATTAGATCCAATATATTCCATATGCCCTCTAAATGCCAATTCTTGCTTTGATAAAAACATATAACATCTATTTATTTAGATATAATATATCTATTACCCATAATTATCTCGTTACAATTTTCAATATTTATTTTATATTATTTATTAATGTTAAATTCTATTCCGCTTCGATTTCCAAATTGCTTCAAATACGAAAGAATCGACGATTTTTCGTGTCTTTTGCCAGCTAAATTGTCAAAGACATTCTTATTCCACACACTAATTTCACTCTGTAAATGCATTTTTATGCATTTACAGAGCCATTTTATCGTGAAAATATCGAACAAATTTTTTTATTGAAGTGTTCATATTTAACTTAGGCATTGGCCTTTCTCTTTTAATAATGTTTTCTTTTTCATTATATGATCTCGAGCCAAAACTTTTTTAAAATAAATTTTCAATATCGCAATTACATTCCGAATCGCTAGCCACGATATAAGGGCTAAAATTAAAAATAAAATTATAAAAACTTACTTGGTGAAATAAAATGTGTGGTGGATATACATACCTGGTACAAAATATTCTTCAATTGTATGAATATACTTTTAAAGAAAATTATAATTAAATATAACTTTGTAATGAAACGTACATGAAAATAACATAAAATATTCTTTACTCTTTAAATCTTAACCACTTAGTCAAATAGCTCCCTACGAGTGGAATCAGAGACGGTCCTGCTAGGTGTGCGGTGTGTACTGTACATGCACGCGGGCTGCCAAATCCCGAGGGTGCCGATACCCTCGGGATTTGGCAATGTCAAATGTTTCTTTTGTCGCATCACTAATATACCTCAAAAGACGCGACAGGGTTCTTGTAAATTTTAAACGTTTCTCACCATAGCTGTAAAAGTCTAAATATGTTAAACTTAATAGATTGTCCGTCTTTTGTTTTCTAACTAATTCGTTTTAGGACCAGGTGTTGTCCACGGAAATTTCCAAAATTTACAACTTTTCGGTCACTCTCGTCGAACTGGAAAAATTTCTGTCTTTATTACATCTAATACAGTATTTCGAAGAAATCGGTCCCCACTGTACGCGGCTATAGATTGGTTCGGTTTAAGCTTTTGTTTAAGTAATATTCCGGCTCTTTCGTCAGGGTTTTGTTTACGTCCCCAATTCCCTAATCGCTTAATTATTTAACTACTTCTTAAGTAGAAATAAGTCGAAATCGGTTACTTTGTACTCGAATATTTGTAGTCTCGGGAAAAAGTGGAAAGACAAATTTTTATGACAAACGGATACATAAATCGTAAATTTAAGGAAAATAAATTCTAGAGCCTTTTTGTACCTCGTGCATCTCTCTCATTCATTAAATTTAGTTGTAAATCACACTGTCCAAGTAACGGTTATTTTTTAACATTATACAAGAATTGTACACGTTTTTTTTTATATCCCCTTAAAGATAGGATGTATGAAATCGTAATATCACTGGTTTAACATCGAAATCCGTGAGTAATATAAAATCGGAGAGCGGAATAAATATATCAAATATTTTAATGGATTTTTTAAACTCCTGTCAACTATACAGAACTATCGTAAAAACATAGTAAATTCTTATCGGTTGGGTTAAGTTATAAATCTACTCGTTATTCACGTAATTCGAAATATCTAGTGGGCAGGCGGCTAACAGCCCAGAACCGGTCCTTGATAGAATTGGAATCTTTATATGTGTGCAGCTTTCACCCAAGGTCGTAGGCTTCCACCGGCTAAACGGGGTGAGGTTGGTGCTCTGTAAAGCGCATGCGCAAATCTGGCTTTTCGTAATCTGAAAATACAGGAGATTCTACTCCGCCACTAATATTCTAATATACAATAGCAATTTTTTTTCTACGTGTAGTATAGAAATTTGTAATAAGATACATAATGCGGTTATAATAAAATATTGTGCGATTATTTTCGTATAATTAAAATTAATATTTATTTATTTTTTAGAGAATACGAGGGAAGCGGCGCTTCCAACCCTTCTAATGACGGCACGCCACTGGTAACAGCAGAGAAAGTTACGCAATTCGTTGTTAGATTTTTGAATATATTGATGCCAATGCTCCGCGTAAGAAAAAGTATATAAAAGACATTTTGCAGTCTCAGAAAATCACTGTTTTAGATGAAAAAAATAAGTTTTAAAAAAACCTATGAAAAATATCTAGCAACGAGTTGTGTAACTTTTCCGGCTTTTATGAGATTTTATTTTTAAAAAATTTGTATTATTGATCAAATTAAATAACAAATTGTGTGTGGCGCTATCTGTTATGAGATTTTGTTATAAAAACTTTATATTTTTTTATTATTGTATAATGGAAAAAAACTTAATTTTGAGTAAGCTATGAAAAACTTCATTCAAATCCAAAAGTAATAAAAAATTTTCTGTTTTCTGTTGCAGATATTGTAAATTTATCATCTGCTATTTGGAGTGATAAAAAAATATATTTTTTTTAAATTAGTCGTCATTTATGTAAATACTTTTTATATAAACTTGCGTTATGTTGATTGTGTGAATGTTTTTATGTAAATTAAACATAATTAATTACAAACATTCATAAACAAATCGGGAGATTTAGTTTTACGTTCCCCGCTGTTAGGTATTTGTTACTGTGAAAGACCAATATCTAGCAAATGTGGATATTCTCTGGTGAATGTCAGCATTCACATAGTCGCTAGGTATATATACGAAATATTTGCTAAATATCATTATTTCTCACTTATACCGGCAAATGTCGAAATTCAGCATGCACTGATGGTGGATGATGAATAAAAATATTTTTATTATGTTAAGACAAAAATGCACTAAAAAAATAAAAGAAATAATACTGATAAATGTCAAAATAGGAGAAAACTTAAGCAACAAACAGTACATGTAAATAAATTGTTGAACCTAAAACAAACAGTACATTCTAAATCAGAAAAGAAAATACTGTAATACCAATGATAAACCTACACATAAATCATGTGATTAACGTTACACAATCTTATTTATTGAACAACTTAAATTGTCATGACACTTTGAATTGCATAAGAGTCCCTTGCTTTTACAACTGCATTTAGTCGTGGAACACTTCTTTTTCAATTACAGCGTGTATAGCCTTCCACCACTTTTCGAATTAGTTGCAGCTGCTTCTCTCAGCGACATTTCTTGAAAACTCTCATCTATGGAAAGTAACTTTTCTTTACAAATTACGAACTGATTACGGGTATAAAGCTGCTTGAGGGTACCATTTTTGTTTTCTAATTTATATTTTATAAAAGTCGGAGTCTTCTATTCCAGGTGTGGTCAAACTTTTATCCCTTAGGAGCTACTTTTTTGGTAAAATATAGTCTTCGGGCGACTATGAATATGGGCAATTTTAGGATTTTTATATGCGCATGCGTTAACATTCATTTGCATTGTTAACGCATGCGCATGCGTAATGCATTTGCATAAATACAAACAGTATGGGGACGTTGCACAGACAGTCTACTATTGTAAGAATAAATTACCGAATTAAGATTTTTAAACATTAATTTAAGTGAAAGCAAATTGTTAAACTTAAGCTTCGCGGGCTACTTTCAAAACCTTTGCGGGCGACCGGTCGACCGCGGTCTACGTGTTGGCCATCCCTGTTCTATTCCAACAACAACCGCCAACACATTTCGGGCATCTGTACGACCACGGTCGACACAAGGACCTGTATTCTTACTGTATTACCAATATGAACAAGAGGAAATTTACTTTTTGAGGTTCGTAACATTTTCGTTACTTGCAGTAGAAAATTCTTTTTCGCAGCGGCTCTTTTTATAGAAATAAACTTGTGTTGTTCAGTCAGGGCTTAATATGAAGACATAGTAGGTTGTAGCTCCTCTTCAATATTTTCTTTTGGAATATGATTTTCGGTATGGCCCCTGTTCAAATTTTCTTCAAAAGTATTAGCAATTTAGAAAAATTTAGAAAAAATATATTTCCTTTTGGACTATACATATAACTGAGTCCATCTTCATCTGTCCTTTCACACGCTTTGTAGAGGCAATAACAAATTCACGGCGATACCGACCTTTTATTTGAGGCGACATGTACAATTTTTCTATTTGTGAATTCGTCCGGGCAAATTTATTTTTAATGTATTAGCAATTTCTTCGAGCTGTTCTTCAGTTTCAATATTTGCGAATTGTTCGCCAGACAAAGATGACGATGCTATACCTCTTTTTGGTTTAACGCCAAACAGGGCTTCATAAGAACTTTGGCGTATTCCTTCATGGTATGTTGTGTTCTTGGCAAATTCAACAAACGGCAAACCATCTGACCATTTATTTGTATCGGTATCGTTCATCCATGCAGTTAACATATTCTGTATATCCTGATTGTCCCATTCAGCTGAGCCTTGTGTTTGACTATGACTGGCTTTCCGTGAACTATCTTAACATTTTTCCACATAGCGCATAGTTTGGATGTGACTCGATTACTGAATTCCTTACCATTATCTGATTGCAATATAGCTGAAGAACCAAATGTTAAAAATATTTGAAGAAGATGATACGCTACTTCTTCAGCTGTCTTAGTTTTCAAAGGTCGTAACTGGACAAACTTCGTTAAATGGTCTTGATATATCATTATAACTTGTGATCGCCATCCCTGTATGACTGTAGGCCTATCAGATCGATTTGACATCTTGAGTTTAACTCCGAACTGACACAACGTTTCACAACAATATCTTTTTTGGTGCACTATGTTTCATTTAACATTGTTTCATAAATTTAAATACAACATTACAACTTTATGTGTAATATTTTTGTATTTAACTTGTAATTCTTTAAGCATACGTGTTCTTCTTCATGGCATATTCTGATTTGAGTTTCGGATAGTATACTGAACAACTCATTATTAGTAACATAACACAGTATAGGCCTATTTGTTTCTCCTCAGAAATTTAATTGATTGGCAGACTACCGTTTGAAATTCGGCTGTGAACGGTACAGTTTCTTAGAGTTAACATTAAAAAATATTATGATACTGTATATGAAAAATTTAAGCTATTCTATTATATATCACTTGAGAAAAATATTAAAAACGAAAAAGAACATTTTGCTATCGTGAAAAATTAAAAAAATTAAAATGTAAATTTACTAAATTCAAATACGGATATAAATGTGTCACCAGAATGGTGTGCGATTGTAGTTGGCTCAGAAACAAAATAGGGATTGTCATGGAAATACAGTATGTTGTAGAACAGCAGCTGTAAGTTAAAAAATATATATTTTTGCCTTTTGTAATTTTCGGTTTTTTGAGAAATTTATTTGTTTGTAGGCTAAACTTTGTCGTATGAATTTACTGATGAGGATCGGAAGAACAAAATGCATATGAGAAAAATAAAGAAAATAACAAACAGTAATGGTTTTTTAAAGTCTTTTTAATACTACTACTTTATCGTTTTTAACATTTCATCTCGGACGAAGAGTCGGGAAAGTACAAAATATAACTAAGAATTTTATCAAATTTATATATTTTTAATATAATTTTAGAATTAAATACCTGACTTTTTGATAATTATAAGTTGAGAGTAATTAATTACTCTTAATCTTTTTTAATAAATTTAATATAATTAAATTGGAAACCATAGAAAAGAGGTGATATTGAAAAACTACTCGTTATTGGCATGTACAATATTTAAAAAATTTCATCTCTACCCTCAAATTTAAGTCTTTTTTTTTGCCTATTTTATAATAATAATATGAGATGTTATTTAAAAAATAACTTACAACAAATGCAACCAACCACAATTTTAACTTTCAGCTGGTGTCATAGTGTTTAATTAAATATTTTTTACATGAAAATATTTTATAATCATAATTCAACAAAATTACTTCTTTTATGTTTTTGTTTATTTAAATTTTATATCCCACCATAATTGACATAATCATCTTCCGTTATCTAACTGATTGCAATAATTCCGTTTTAAACGATTAAAATTAGTAATACTACTACAACAATAATAATATGTTTAGTTAAACAATAACATACTTACTCAAGAGTTGGGCTAACAAATAAATAGAGATTACACTGTAGCCTATGAAAGATATTTGGGGAATTCATTTGCGTCTAGAGATCGTAACTTCACATATAACAGGCAGGGGAATTTTTTTAAAACATTTATGCACAAAAGTTGCATTTACGTATATTTGTAATGTATATTTGTATGTATATTTGCATTGGTATATTTGTAAATAATGAAGAAACGCGTAAAGAATTGAGTGTTAGTATATTAAATTTTATGTTTAGTGCTTAAGTTTGGCATTCATTCTGTTGTTGTTCTAATTATATTGTTAGTTTTATTATTGATTTCTGAAACTCCCCAGAAATGAGTNCGGTTTGCAATTGTTATAAAATCTCTGTAAACTAAAATTATTAATACGTATTACCCCAAATGTTTTCATTAAATTGATATAAAGATCATTCTTAATCACTACTTGTTCTCTATATAATTACAGTAGTTTTTAATCACATGATTGATTTTTCAGTGAAATCGCAAGTATAATGTTTTACATTGCTTATACTTTATACATATAATTTTTTTTTTACATATAGTATACTGTATTCAAAATATATTATATATTTTGTTTATATTTCGATGATTGTATCGTCTAAAATTTAACCCACTGACTTACTGTTGACACAATAATAGGTCAATCTGCTCTTGGATAAACTCCAGATTTTTAGATTTTATACTGACTGTATCGTGTATTATTTGTTCTAGAAAAATTTGTATGACAATTGATTTCAGTCACATACAAAGTCAAACTTAGCATATTATGGAACCGCTCTAAATAAAATTCTGTTTTTTCATAGACTATATTGATATACATGTTGGCATGTCAAATATTTTGTCAATTTGTTAGTTATGCATCAAATTTAATTTACTGTGTTATATATTGTTTCTATACTTAAACTTTGTATATAGTATTTACTTTCACTTTTTTTATTTTTATATAGTAAATATTCATTAATTTCAATGAAAATAACATTCTTAAAGTCATAACAAGTTCCTTAATTGCAAATAATTGCACAAGTAAATATGACAAAGTTTCTAATTATTTTTCATCTTTCTAACATTAGACATGAAAAAAAAGCAAGTGTGCCTGCCAGGGATCGAACCTGGGACCTTCCGCGTGTTAGGCGGATGTGATAACCACTACACCACAAGCACATATCCCAAATTTTTCTATATTTTCTATTAATTTGAACTAATGAATTACAATTAATTTGTAAGATAATAGTTTGTTTTCAAGTTTTTCAAAATTTTCTTTAATTTTATTTATTAAAACATATTTATTCATTAAAGAAATTGCGTAATAAAATAAAATCCAATAAACAATTTCAAGAGTTAACAAATAAAATATTATGTATTTATAATGTATAATTAAATAACGTATAAATACCAAAATAATAATTTGATCATTTTTTAATTGCCATCTTTAAAAGTAGAAGAAAATCAAATATAATTCTTACTTTTTTAAAGTATTGAATATCTCCAATGAAATAACTAAAATATTTTAACGAATTCTTCAAATTATATTCACTTTTTAAACATTTAGGCTAAGAAATATAAGTTATGAACTTAACAGATATAAAATGCTTCTTATATGTTTGATAATTAAGATATGCTATTTTATAACGTTTCAATACATGATTATATAGTAGGACATATATTCATATTGATTTATGTGCTAATAACTAAAATTAGATTCTTTTATGAAAAATTTTTGTGCTTTTTTATTATCATTTCAAATTTAGAACTTACTGAATAAACTATAACAAAAAGAAATAGAGTACATGCATATATTTAAATGAAAAATAAAAGAATGCTTTCATTAAACTAATAATTAACTTATATCACCTAGCAATAAATCCAACTAAAACTAAGTTATTATCTTTCGTAATAACAGCAAAATATCTGATAAAGAAACTAAATTATATCACGACAATATTCCTCTTAAACTGTTAATGAAATAAATTATTTGGGAATCACCTTTGACTGGTATGTATTATTTGGGAATCACCTTTGACTGGTATGTATTATTTGGGAATCACCTTTGACATATTTCTAAAATTAACAACAAAATAAAGCAGGCTATTGATAATCTTTTATTTTTATGTTCTACCTTGAAAACTTCTAACTTGAAAATTCATATAAACTATATAATTCTATAATCAATCCAATTATTTTCTATGCAAGTCCTATTTGGAGTCTGGATTATTCATATAAACTGGAGTCTTTTTACATTTATTTTCTGCGTAAATTATTCCACTTAGAAAGAACAGTTCCTGGCTATGCTCTACGACACGAAACAAATCGCATTTGGTCCTACCCTTTTTTGCTAAAACGAATAATTAAATTTTATTATAGACTCAAATTTAAAGTGACAATAATATAACTTTCTTATATCATAAAAATATCAAGCAGCGCGGTAACCTAAAATTCAAGCAGTTATGGCATTACAAGTTATGTAAAATTCTAAACTCATTTGGCTTCTCAGAACTACTATTTAAAGACAATATTCAAGATCGGAAATACGGTTACACGCTCTTATTGGACTCTGCTATATCTCAATCCATAAATAAAGACTATCTCTCGTTAAGCCATAGTAATTACCATCTCTGGTATATTGATATATTTGAAATTCCTTCTATCCAATCGTATACGTCACAATTAATTAATTTGAACGTAATGCGCTTAATAATCCAACTTCGCTTAATAAATATTCTCACTTTATTAATAACATCTACATTAATTTTTCAAATACCCAATGTGTCCTGTGCAGTTCTAAAGACTTTTCACCATACCACTTTTTATACAATTGTCAAGAACTTATAAACATGCGCGAACAATATGAAATTATAAGTATTTGTAAATGTAACTCGCCTGTAGAATTTAAAACAAAGTTGAATAACCTCAATAAAAAAGATATGTATAAAACATTTTGCTAAAATTGTGGAAAAAAAATTAACTCAATGTTTCCAACTAATAATAATAATAATAATAATAAATTCTTTTACAAAATCTAATAGTTCAATATGGTCTTTCCTAATAAATAAATAATAAATGGTCTTCCTAATAAATTTGTATGTGTCTTTACCGCTACAACATAAAATTTACTATAAAATGAATGTACGGATCTGTTGATTTGTAATCGGTTTGCAATTGTTATAAAATCTCTGTAAACTAAAATTATTAATACGTATTACCCCCTGTAATAGGGAAATTATTCCCTTTCGCTAATAATATTTTTTTAAAAAAATAATTAACTTATATCAACTTAAACACTCGTTTTTAATTATATTTAAATTTTTTAACGGAAATTTAAACATATATAAATATTTTAGTGAAAATACTACTAATTTGAAAATTTGATACAAAGTAACTGTTCTATTAATTGTAAGAACACTAAAAGATTTTATTTAATTATTTAGAATAATAATAATCTTCATAGAAGTTGCATAAATACTTTACGGTAACATCTGTATTATTTTGGCATTGTTCCATTGTAGCTCTCTATAAAAATTTAATATTAATT